TAAACTCCCCGGCTGCTGCAGGCAGAGGCCATAAAGCGCGATGATGAGGCTGCTGAAAGCAGATGAAATATCAAGAGCGAAAGGCAGGGCCCATTTGGTGAAATCTGAATTTCTTAGTAGGTCGTTTGTTACGAACGGGAGGCGCGCGTCAGCTTTATGGCGCTGGGGAAGCTGCCGAAACCCGAGTGGGATTTGATTAAAATTCTCCTCGTCAAACAAAGCAACAAATCAAAGATTCCTTTATAATTGATGAGCCGGGACTGGGAGGGGCTGAGTGTGGGGGGCTGCGATGGGAGCGCAGTCCTGGCCCCGTTGCCCTCCTGATGAACCAACTGGGCCCTGTGAGCTAATTAGTGCAAATGAAGGAGGGCACGGAGCAGTTTGGGGGCCATCTGTGGGGCTGGGGGCTGCTTGTGGCTGAGTTTGGGTCTGCTCCACAGGTATGATCCCTACAGCAAGGTCTTCTCGCAGGAGCATTATGCCCATGACCGCATGCGTGAAGCCCGGCAGGCCGCCATCCGCTCCGCCGCCCGCGCCCAGTGCTGGGGGCTGCTGCTGGGCACCCTGGGGCGACAGGGATCCCCTGCCATCCTACAGGTACTGCTGGGTCCCCTCACCTTGGGGACATGGCTGGGAAAGGGGCAAGGACAGCGCCTGCCCTCTCTTGCTGCCATCGATCCGCCCCAAGCCGTGCAGGCAGGGCAATTAGCAGCAGATGAGGGAGGTTGGCCAAGGGCTCATTAAACACTGGCCAGCCGTGGAGACCCCCCTGGATGAGCAGCTCAGCAATTAATTCGCTGGTTTGGTTTTAATTGGATGAACTCCTGCTTGGGTTCGCTGTCTCTGCGGGCAAGGGGAGCAGAGCCAAGGTGCTGCCGTTGATGTTGGGGGGGGATTTGGGGGACCAGCAGTGAGATGTGGGGCAGAGATCCTGAGAGTGATTTTGGGGGGCGGCTCAGGGAGGTGACGGGCGCAGTAGGGCACAGGAAACAGTTGGTGGCTCTGAGGTCATGGCCACACTGCTCACGTCCTCCCACAGCCTTCAGCCCTGCAGCAGGCAGGCGTCCCAAGGCTGGCAGCCGCTAACGAGAACAGATTGTTGTCATTGAGCAGTAATTACTTCATTAGGCTGAGGCACGCGCTAGGGGAAGCGGCATGCGAGCTGAAGCTGCGGCCCTGTCACCGTGTGTGCCCCCTGGATGTGGCAGGGACACAGAGCTGTGTTCCCAAGAGGCCTGAGGGCTGAGCTTTGGGTTCTGTATGGCCTTCTGGATGGAAAGTGCTGTGTGGGTTAGCATGAGGCTGGCCAGCCCCTGAACCACGGTGCTGTTTTTCTCCCCACAGCACCTGGAGTCACGGCTGCGTGCCCTGGGCCGGCCCTTCGTGCGGGTGCTGCTGTCTGAGATCTTCCCCAGCAAACTGCAGCTCTTCGACAGCGTGGATGCGTGAGTGCTCCCGGCCCCATGCCTGTGGGGAGCCCCAGAGTCGTGCTGGGAACGTGGTGCTGGGCCTGATGTAGTTCTGGGCTGTTGTCATGGAGAGTTCCTCCGTGGTGCCCCTAAATCCAAGTGATGTTTCTTCGTCCTGGGATGCAGCATGGTGAAGAGGAGCAGCTCCTCATGGCGGTGTCCAGAGCCATCCTGAGGTTCCTCACATGGGGCTGTGGGGGGCTTTATTGCTGCCATTCTCCTCACAGGTGGGTGCAGATCGCCTGTCCACGGCTCTCCATCGACTGGGGGGAGGCCTTCGGCAAACCACTGCTGACACCCTATGAGGTGAGCAGCCCCCGGTGCATTTCAGGAGGACCCCTCCCAGCACTGCAAGTGGCACTCAGCCCCTTATCCCTTCCTCGCAGGCAGCGGTGGCTCTTGGGGACATCGAGTGGCAACAGCCGTACCCCATGGACTTCTATGCCAGTCAATCCCTGGGACCGTGGACGGCCAATCGCTCAGCACAGCCAGCCCAGGTGGGCGCTGGGGGGTGGGAGTCCCTACTGTATCCCTTGGTGCTCGGTGCCGTGTGTCACAAGCGCCACCCAGTGGCTTGCTCCCTGGAGAGCAGGGCTGGTGCCCACGCGGCGCCTTCCGTCGGGGCACAGGTGGCCCCTTCTCTGCTTACCCCATGTCTGTCCCCACAGGAGAAGCCACTCACAACCCCCAGCCTGAAGAATGGCACTGAGGGCTCCCGCAGTGCTCACCCGCCTGAGGACACGGCCACCTCCTGAACAGGGTCCCGGTGGCCCCGCTGCCACCTGTGGGGACTTGGCGTGGGTTCAGCCGCCCCAGGGTGAGCATCATCGGGGCCACACGGATTTGGGGCATCCCTGGTACCAGCACCAGGATGGAAAGGGGTGGAACTGAGGACGGCCCGTATGGCCTCGTTGGCTGCTGGAAGCGGGTCGCGCAGCCCCTCCCGCTCCGCATCCCCCCTCACTGCACGGCGCCGGTTCCACTGGCACCCCGTCGGGGCCGCCCCCTCCACGTCCCCGCCCCGCGACCTCCCGCCGCAAGGGGGCGCGCCGGCGGACGGTCCTCCCCGAGCCTTTCCTTGCGTGCGGCGATAGCCAATTAGCGCGTAGCTTTCCGGCGGGAAGAGGGGGCGGCCGGAAGTGCCACTCACTTCCGGCTGTGGCGGGCACCATGTCGGAGGGGCGGCCGCTGCGGTTGTTGGCGCTGCACGGCTACCGGCAGAGCGAGCGCCGCTTCCGACAGCGCACCGGCGCGCTGCGCAAGGCTCTGCGAGGCCGTGCTGAGCTCGTAGCCCTCGATGCTCCGCACCTCGTGCCCGGCAGTGAGGATGAAATAAGCGACGACCCCCCACGTGGGTGGTGGTTTTCCAGGCCGGGAGCTTTTGAGGCCTCGGAGGCAGCGGATCAGCCGGTAGGGCTGGAGGAATCGCTGGAGGCCGTGGCGAGAGCGCTGGAGGAGCGCGGGCCTTTCGACGGGCTGCTGGGCTTCAGCCAGGGTGCGGCGCTGGCCGCTATGGTGTGCGCCCTGCGGGCCCGCGGGGATCCGCGCTTTCCCGTCGCCTTCGCCATCCTGGTGGCCGCCTTCGCCAGCCGCGCGCCGGCCCACGAGCACTTCTACCGGGAGCCCATCGCCCTGCCCTCGCTGCACGTCGTGGGCGATGCTGACGCTGTCATCGCCGCGCACCTCAGCACTGAGCTGGCGCGGTGCTTCGTGGAGCCCGTCGTCGTCACGCACCCCGGCGGGCACTTCGTCCCCGTGGCTGCGGCACAAAAGGAGGCCTACCTGCGCTTCTTGGAACGTTTCTGCCCTGGGCAGGGCCGGGCTGAGCAGCCAGGGGCCGGAGCAGTGTGATAGTGGTGTCTGTAATTTGTGGTGTGCTGCTTGGTGGGGCATCTTGGAGCAGAGCTTGCTGTTTCTGTGCTCTTTGGAGGGGTTGTCACGATCTCTGTGCTCTTTTGTTATATTAACACAGTGAAACTCTTCTGTATCTCTTCTTTGCAACTTTATTATATATGTGACATTGGATTGCAGACAAGAGAGTGATGCAGCTGTGCCTGATGGACTTCCAGAGTCCCTTCAAAAGTACGATCTCACTCAGAGGAAGCAGCTGCAGAGCACACAGTACTTGCAGCTCTTATATCCAAAAAGGTTTGTGTTTTTAGTATCCCGTACTAAATAAATGAAGCCAGCCTTTCAGTGGGCCTGGGCCTAGAGAAGACATTTCCTGGCAGTGTCAGGGTTGGTGTTTGCCTCATGCATTAGATTTCTCTGCTGGTTCAGCTTGTGTGAATTGAGAGATCTGTTGTATCTTCTGCTGTGCAAAGAGCCTTCACAAACGAGAAAAACTCAACCATTGCTGGGTTTTTGTCTGATATTTTCCAAATGCATACAGAAATCTGCGATGCTGGTGGTGTTGCTTTGATGGTAGGCATCCTGCTTGGCTGCCACGTGGCTTCAGTGCTGGGGTATACTGCTGGCCTCGGGTCTGTACCCAGAGGAACTTCAGCTCACAGCATGGTCTCCAATGCCCTTTTTCTTCAGTGATGAAGTGCATTGTAGATGCTAAACGTGGTAGTTTGCTTGTGTTGCCAGGTGGGGCTGTTCTCCTATATTGCTGCACTGAGGTCTCACAGGTGGGGCTGAGCAGAGGATGGTGCTGGGCAATCCTCTGGTGGGTCACAAGCACCAGGAGGAGAGAACAGTGCTGTGGTACAGGGTGGGAAGGTGTCACCTGAGTCTGTGGGCTCCTCATGCTTCCCCAGGCTGAGGCTCTGAGCCTCAGGCAACCACGGGGAGTGGATCAGTAGACGGAAGCACTTTCAGCATTCACTGAGCCGTGAACACGCCTGGGAACCGCCGCAGGTCAAAACTAACCGAGCAGCTTTAATTCGTGTGAGTTTTGCTCTCTGGTTTCTTGCTGGTTCTGTGGCAGCAGCATGATGGAGGCAGCAGTGAGAGCATGAGGCTGCTTTCCCCTGCAGGTCAGATTTGCACTGATGTTGCTCTTGGGTAACTGAAGGGTGTGGAGGCTCTGGGGGCTCTGGCATCACAGTGCTGCTTGGCCGCTTCCTGGGCTGATGCAGAGCTGTGGGGTGTCTGTCTGTCACCCCTTGGTCTCTGCATTGAGGATGCTGGGGGTCGGTTTGGGGAGCAAAAACGCAGCTTTTGGCCCGCAGGGAGGTGGGAGAAGGAGCACGCGGGGAGACGCAGAGATGCTGCTGTGCATCTACACACCTGTTGCCCTGCCAAGCAGCAGGCGGTGGGTGAACGCAGCCAAAACAGCGAGGCTGAACCTCGTGATGACAAAGCAGCAGGGCCTTTGTCTCGCTGCTTTCCCACCTGAGCTTCCAGGCGCTGTGAAAAGACAGCAGCAGGCAGCTCGGCCGGCCCGCCGTTAGCCGTTTCATTATTGCCGAGCTTGCGCTTCGCCGGCGCAGCCCATCACCGCGGGACGGCGCGGATGAGGCACTGCAGTGATGTCTGCTCGCCGCGGTCCAGCCTGCACTGCGGTCCCGCAGCCGCTTCCCCCGCCCCCGTGTCCCGCAGCAGCACCGGCCGGAGGCACCGCAGCCGTTCGCTGGCGTTGGAAACAGGGATGGACCTGTGTGTGCGTGGTGAGTGAGCAGAATGGCCCTGCTGCTTCCCATGCGGCTCTTCTGGGGAGAATGGAGGGGGGGGGAAGGGGGGGTTGATGAGTGGGTGGGCTTGAATTCTGGGGGCTTTTTGATACTCCAGCACCTGCATCTCATTCTCAGGGGGTTCAATAAAAAAAATTAAAAAAAGCCAGGTGTCTTCTCCCTGAGCTGAAAGCAAATAATAAAAACAAATCAAGCCGACCCTTCATCTGCATGAGGTGTCAGCAGGGCGGGAGGAAGGTGGTTTTTGCACCTGCTGTGATGGGAGGAGGGAAGTGACTCCTGCAGACATCACCTGCTGGTCGGAGGAGGGGGCCGTGCCCTGGGAATCCTGCCCACCACAGCCCCTCTGAGCATGGCTGTGTCTGCCCCATGCCACGCAGCACCACTTGCACCTCTGCTTGCCTTCTGCCACCTCGGCAGCAGCTCAGCCCCGTGCCACATACCTTTTGCTGGTCCAGGTCTAGTTCCTATGATCTACCTTCTTGTGAGCTGCGTGGGGAAGAAAACAGGAGGGATGTGAGCCTGAAAGAGGCTGGCAAATGTCTTTCCTACCCGAGAACATTATTCGTGGGGGTTTTGCTTTCCCCCCGTGTTGCCTTTACCCAGTGGCGATGGGAGCCTGTGACAGGGATGCACTTCACCCTTCTGCTGCCTATTTCTGCCCCCCAAAACAGCTTTCAAAGCTCTCTGCATCCCCCCCAATGTGTCCACAGCAGTGCCAGCCCCCAGAGCAGCTGCACCCCTGCTTGCTGCCATTCCTGCCGCAAGCTCTGAGGCAACCAGCAGCACTGGAGATGCTGTGAGCATCCCAAGCATCCACCCACTGGCAAACACCCACCGCCTGCTCCCTGCATCCCTTCCCCAGTGCTGCTGCTGACTCAGGCCCTCCCCCGCTCCCTCCCTGCTCTCACTGCCCATGCAGGGCTGGCAGACACAAACAGGGGCTCCCGTGGGTTGCGCTGACAGCGGGTCTCACCGTCCTTCCAGCCTTACTCATCTCACTCTTCCTCCCCTACAGCCAGCAGTGTGCAGGGCCCGATGCAGACTGCTGGGGAGGGGATGCTCCTGAAAGGTGATGCGTTTCATGGATGCTTACACAATGCATCTTCCTTGGGCCTGGCTCTTACCTGCAGTGTGCTGGGATTTGGGCACGAGAGAACTGCTGGACACATCCAGGGGTGTCCCTGGGCCCCGCTGCCCAGTTGGGACCAAGCTGGTGGGAAGAGTCCCCCCCTTCTCTGCCTCATCCGCAGAAGCTTCCAGTTGTGGCTGAGTCACTCCTGCTGTAACTCCTTTTCTCCTTGTTTTCGATGGAAGTTTTCCATGGAAACCCACGCTGGGCCGGGCCACAGGCTGGGATAAACACGCCTGAATCACAAAGATGGTTTCGCCAAAAGCTGTCAGATGGTAACAATAGCAGACGGTGAGGGGCATCCAGGGGCCGTGCTGCCTTTTGGGGGGCAGCAGCACCCCTTCTCCCCCCTGTGCCCCCCTCCCAGCCCTGTGGGCACGTGCTGCCCACACCAGCTCCATGGCACAAGGTCCCTGTGGCACAGCTGTAAGGCTTTGGGCAGAAGCTGGGCTTTGGGGCCACGTGTTCTGCATGGGGAAATCCCACCTGGAGAGAGCAGGATGGAGGCATCCAAATCCTCCACCGTTGGACTTGGCAGGGGTAGGGCTCCCCAGGATGAGCCTTACCCCATCCTGGCAGCAGGAGGGCTGGGATCACGTGTTGCTTCTCATCCAGCAACCCAACCTAGGGCAGTGTTTGTGCAGCACCCATTCACCCACAAGCTCTGTCCCCTTGTCACCAAGGAGCATGGGAGCAGGGAGGCTTCTGTCCCTTGATGGGATAGAGCCCTGGCCCTGGGCTCGGTTCCATGGAAGCCAGGCTCCTTGGAAGCCAGTGTCAGAAATCTGAGATATTTTTAAGTTTTTTGGAAGAAAAACTAATTCCAATGTGTGAGCAAAAGTTGGCCTTCAAAACAACAACAGCGCCGCTTTGAGTCTCTGAGGAGATGCAGGCTGGGGGCCGTCCCTGTCCCAGGGGTGCTCCCATCACCTGGGGATGCATTTTGGGCATCATCCCATGGCCATAAGAGACCCCCTGCCACAGGACCCCGGGTTTTTCTGGGGGGCAAAGGGTGTTTTTGGAGATGAGTAGCACCTCAGGGTGTCCCTCCCTGCACTGCAGTCCAGCTGTGGCTGCCACAGTTGTAGGTTCTCCCCACTGATGGGGCCGCCCCAAATCCCACCCAGGCACGAACAGAACTGCTGGGGATGGGGCACAAAGTGCCCACGGGTGTTCCCTATGGGCTGCTCTGGCCTCAGGTGGGGGAACAGAGCAGAGCCCTCATGCAGGGGTCCACCAGGCTGCAGCAGCCCTGTCCCCATCCTGCCCCCTTGCCGCTGTCACCCCCCAACCCCTCTGTCCCCAGCACCCACCTGCATGAGTTCAGCACCTCCCATCCCTCAGGGCTTCCTGCGGGTTCTC